GGAGGGTTTAACTGAACCAAATATTTTGCCTAACTGCTCAACAGTTGAATTTTTCGCTTATTTGATCTTTTTCTTTCAGTATATTTTTATATAAGCAAACAGGAAATTTCACTTAATGTGATTGAATATATAAACTTTTTCAAATAAACTTTCTTTGAAAGTTCTTAATGTTCTGAGAATCTTCTCTAAAGAATTTGTTTTGCCATCTTTGGTGCAAATTGGAGGTTATGTGTATTTGATATTTGAAAGAGCTGTTTATGTCATTGCTTTTATTTAGATGAACTATCTTAGTTTTTATGGAGCAAGCTCCTTTCCTAGTCTTCTAGAATTATGTTTGCCCTTTTCTGTAACACCAATATCCTGGCAGTTTTAGATGTGTTGTTATAATACATGTAACAATGTGTCTTCTAGGCAATATTTGACTGGGTGGATATTGCAGGCGGTAAATTAGCTTCTATGTCTCCTGTTGGAACAGATCTTGAAACTGTCAAGCAACAGATTGAAGAGCTAAAGGTTTGTGTGGGGCTAAGTGATTAGTCAAAGAATTGCTTGCATTTTAAAATTGCTGATTCTCTGAATTCCTTACATAAATTCATTCATTTTACATAATTGAAGCATTATATTTTTATTTTGAAATAGTTTTTATTACATGTATTTATGCGTGTGTGTTTGTGTGTACACATGCATGAGCATGTCACACATGTGAGGAGGTCAGAACACAGCTTGTGGGAGATAGTTCTCTTCCACTATGTGAATCCTGGATATCAAACTCAAGTTGTTGGGCTTGGCAGCAAGCATCTTTACCATCTCACGGGTTCTGAAATTGTTTTAGTAAAGTATCTATGCATAGTAAGCATAGATAAGCACTGATTAAAAGAAATAAAAGATTGTTTTCTTTTCATTAATTAATACCTGTTCCTTACAGAATTAAGCAAAAAGGAAAAATAAACAAAAAAGCATAAAATAAGCAAAAAGGAGAAAAACTAATTTTTCTAAGACAGCCCAAATGTTACATACTCAGAAGCAACTACTAGAATTATTTATTTATTTTTATTTTATATGTATGAGTGTTTGCCTGCAAATGTGTAAGTGCACCACGTGCATGTGATATCCATGAAGCCCAGAGAGGGTGTCGGATGCCCTGGAACTGTAGTTACGGATGGTTGTTGGCTACCGTGTGGGTTCTGGGAATTGAACCTGGATCTTCTGCAAGAGCAGCCAGCACCTTTAACCTCTGAGCCATCTCTCCATTCCCAACTACTAGAATTTATAACTTTTCAGATAGCTTCATCTCTGAATGGAAGAAGTATGTGTGTGTATGTATGGGGGGGCATATTTGGATCTCACTTTAATGTGCTTTATTATTCAATAGTGTATTGTAATTAGTGTAATTGATGCATTATTGTATTATCAGCCAAACCAAGCATGGTGTCTCATGCCTGTAATCCCAGTACTTGGGAGATTAAGGCAAAGACATGGCTAGGTGTTTGAGGCAAACCTAGACAACATAGGGATATAAGATCAGCTAGAGCTACATAACAAGACTCTATCTCACAAGTAACAACAACAATAATAATAAATAAAATAGTTACTTTGTATCAATAGCAAGATATAGAAATCATTATCAGTGAATACAACTCAGCTATGAAAAATATAAAATCATGAGGCTGTGCATGATTTAGAAAAGGAACTACTGAATTTAAAGGCATCATTTCCTGAATTTCATTTACATTAATTTAAAATTAGATATTAGAATAAATTTCTCCATGATATTTGTTATTTTTTATTACAGGGAATAAAAATGAAATATCAAAACTGTAAATAGAAACATCTTTCCATCATAAAACATTAAATAAAAGAGAAGAATTCCCCCCATTTTATCTCTCACTGGTCAGCCTCATATGAGATTTTTATTCCTCTTGCTCTGTCTTTCAATAGGAAATGCAGATTATTATAAAATGTTTAGAGAATATTTTTGGTTTATAATTGCTGATTTATGTTTTAAAAGTTCCTTGTATTTTTTTTAAATAGCAATTTAAGTCAGAGGCTTACCAACAGCAGATAGAGATGGAAAGACTGAACCATCAAGCAGAACTTTTGCTGAAGAAAGTAACAGAAGAGAGTGATAAACACACTGTTCAAGACCCATTGATGGAGCTGAAATTGATATGGGATAGCTTGGATGAGAGAATCGTCAACAGACAGGTACGTTCCAAGACAGGTTCAGAAGTTACATGTGGTCACTCTTAGACCGTAACATCAAACTATTAAAATCAATTCAAGCATTAATATCAACAAACTTTTGAAGCACCTAAATATTCGACCCAGACTCTCCCATTTATGCCATATTGAACCACAAAGAATATTAGATGAAAATGTTAAATGACATGACGGGATTGCTGGCTCGGAGGACAGACTTTGGCAGCATGAAGCAACTGGCCGTTTTTGCTCTTGTGTCATAAGTATGTCATTTGTGATGCCAGATTTGATCATGGATTTTCTTCCTCTCTGCTTTTTTGGCAGCACAAGCTGGAGGGTGCTCTTTTGGCCCTGGGTCAGTTCCAGCACGCCCTGGATGAGCTCTTGGCATGGCTGACACACACGAAGGGGTTGCTAAGTGAACAGAAACCTGTTGGAGGAGATCCTAAAGCCATTGAAATTGAACTTGCTAAGCATCATGTACGTACTGCTACTACGTATGTTTCTTTTGAGTTTTTCAAGTTTATGATTTTAACAGATATATGCTAATATTTGGCATTAAACTACTTAACATGTACTTCTTTAAGAAATTGCAATAAAAGCCTTTTCTCATTGAGCAGGGCAGTTATTATCAAATGTAGCAAGGATATTGGCTGAATTTGAATAGGACTGCATGGCAAACACGAAAGATTTAAATCCCTGTTGCATCTGTCATTGAGTTAACTTGTTTTTTTTTGTTTGTTTTGTTTTTAAAGTTTTGGGGGAAAACCTAAAAACTTCTAGGCTTAAAATGCTGTTGTTCCACCATGGCTTTTATGTCTTGCCTCTGGTTCCCCCATCTCCACATGTTTCTCACACCTCCTATGTGACCTATTGGCTCTCCCTGCTTTTCTATACATCTCTCACCATATTCTGACTTTTCCTTCTCTCTGTTTGCTGTTAGCTTTGACTAGCTATATGTGTTGGACTCCTTTCTAAACCTGTTTTCTAAAATATTTATTATGCTCAAGACTTTTTATATACCTTACATTTGATTTGAAGCCTATATGACGTTTTCATCTTGAGATATGAAAAACAGTTTTGTTAGTGCCACTTTGTGACAGTTGCTTGATACTGTTTAATAATTCACTCCGCCATCCCTTGTCACTTTACTTACGTAAAAGTCTATGCACAGTAGAGGTCCTCCTCATACTCCAGTCTTTCATAGACTTTAGCACTTAGATTAATATTAGTATCTTCAAATCTGGAATCCTAACTTTACCTAAAATTTACCAGGTAGTAAATGTTTGTTTTGATGTGTATTGACATTTTTATCAAAAGGTAGGTCTTTAGCAATTAAGATCATGATGCACAATTTTTTTTCCTTGGATAATTCTCCTTTTATATTTTTCCCCACAGTAATTGTTGTCTAATTTAAGTTCTTCTTTTCTACTGATCCTGCCCACATGGATAGTCATTGCCTAGCCATATCGGATTTAAAAATTCCCATATATAGAAACCTACTTCATTATTTGATGTCTACATTATATTATACCCTTGCTTAGAGCAACAGTGACTTTTAGACTGACTGCATAAAAACAGAGTTTGTTTATTCTCATAGCCTGAGTTTATAGATACATTGACATTTTAGTAAACCCAGCAATTGTCTTAAAAGCAGCTTACATCAGGGATCAGAACTATGTATAATAGAGATGCAAAATAAGACATCCAGTCTCGTTATTTGGGCTGAAGCTCTGTAGAACCATTTAATTCTGTTTATCTGACTAGTTAGAAACAGCTTTTTTTGCCTTTTTCCTTTTACTTCTCAAAAATAAAAATTTAGGGGCCTTAGAATTCACAGAACAGTTGCTGAAAATTTGTAACTTCTACTCAACAGTTTTCTCTTGTCTCTGAACATTAGAAGATTTTTTTTTTTTTTTTGGTTTTTTTGGTTTTTTTTTTTTTTAGTTTTAGCACTGGATCAGAATCAGAGAACTCCCTATGTAGCCCAGGATGGCCTTGAACTCACAGAGATTCACCTGCCTCTGCCTCCCGAGTGCTGGGATTAAAGGCGTGCGCCACCACGCCCAGCTAGAAGAAGATATTTTACAGAATTTATCTTTTATAGACAAGCACAGTATTTAACTCTCCCATTTTGAGAACGTTGCCTACTGTTAATATATCAAAGGACACATTTTCCTTAATGGTAACTCCTTACTTGGCTTTGTAGCCTTTGGAAAACACTGCCTCATGAGATGCTTCAGAACTGAGTGAACAGTTAAAAGTCCTCCCACAGCTGTCTTTTCTCTGGAAACCCTCCTGGTCTGGGTTCCCCTCCAGATGTGTCATGCCTTGCATAGGATGAGGGATGCTTTTCCTTTTCTTTACTGTTGCCAACCGTACATCATCAGTGAACATTAGTGTAGGTTTATAATGAACTCTCAGCACTATTAGGTGAAGAAGTCTTTTCAAATTAGTGGCTGTGGAATCCCAATGAGAGAAAATGATGAAATGCATTTCTTTCAAATGGTGATTGTAAAATATGTGTCTTAGATGTTTGGAAATTGTTATTGAATATGTTAAAGCTATAAAGGAATGCTTCTAATCATGTGGTTATTAAATAATTTTTTAAAAGATAATTTTATATTAGAAAATGAATATGTAAGAGTAAAAATATCTGTTAAGACATGAATATTAAATTCAATTAAAATGAGCTTAAATCAAGTGAAAATATTATTTCATTGTCTCAGATAGATAGATAGATGATGATAGATAGATAGATAGATGATAGATAGATAGATAGATTAGATAGATAGGTAGATAGATACATACATACATACGTACATATATAGATGATAGGTAGATACATAGATACATAGATAGATATATAGATATATAGATGATAGGTAGGTAGGTAGACAGACAGACAGACAGACAGACAGACAGACATAGATAGCATCACTGCAAGGTCATTATAATGGGAATAAGTGGTAAGAGTTCTCACAGTCATTTCAGGACTCTTAGTAGACTAAAGGTATATCTAGGAAAGCTACAAAGTTAAAGAAAAGAAAGTCTGTCACTTTAAAACTTGTTATTAAAACTTTTTTAATAAGATTTTTATTTCAAAATGTTTCACAACAAGAAAATGAAGCAGTTGCGATATACTCCGGTTGGTAGAATGCTTACCTAGCATGCATGAAGCCCTAGGTTTGATCCCCAGCACTGCATAACATTAGATGCGGTAGCCCAGCCTGTACTCTCAGCACAGGAGAGGTGGAAAAGGGATCCGAAGTTCAAGGTCATCATCAACAACACAAAAAATTATAAGTAATGTTACTGTGTTACCAGTTAGCAAACATGATATTATCTTAACATTTTTCAGGTGCTACAAAATGATGTATTAGCCCACCAGTCCACAGTGGAAGCTGTTAATAAAGCAGGAAATGATCTAATTGAATCAAGTGCAGGAGAAGAAGCAAGCAACCTTCAGTCCAAGCTCAAGATTTTAAACCAACGCTGGCAGAACATTCTAGAAAAAACAGAACAAAGGAAGCAGCAGCTGGATAGTGCCTTGCGCCAGGTGAGTAGAGAGAATAAATCCAGAGACTTCCTCTGGTGTTCAAGTCCAGAGAAGCAGGATTTCCTTCATTAATTCACAGGTGGCTGTTTAATTTTGAGACCTTAAAGAAAGGAGTAGAAAAAGTAGGATAAGGAGCAGAGCAGGTGAGGAGGCAGTGCTCCAGTTCTTAGCATAATGCTCTTACATCCTGAGCCTTCCTGATGGGCTGATACCTGCTACTGGACTCTCCGAGATGCAGAGAGGGGCTTAGCAGCCTGGGGCCATGGAACCTTGTGTGAAAGTGACAGTCTTTGTGGCATAAACTTAAAACTACTTCTTGCTTCAGGCCAAAGGATTCCATGGTGAAATTGAGGATTTGCAGCAGTGGCTGACTGACACTGAGCGTCATCTGTTGGCATCCAAACCTCTAGGAGGTTTACCAGAAACAGCCAAGGAGCAGCTTAATGCACATATGGTATGTATTGTATTTCCTACTATAGTCCTGGTGATAATTAAATATAATGGGAAATGATACAGTTAAAAGTTACAGTTTTGGAGCAGAAATCACTGTGTGTAAATGCTAGAAACCACCATTTAGTGATTGAATTTTTCAAATTAAAACCTATTTGTTTCAGAGGTCAGCACATGAAAAATTGTTTTAAAGAAGTCTAGACATTTTTGAGTTGCAAACCTCCTACACACAAAGTGACAAGGCTTATAGTAATATGACATTGTATAAGTTACAAATTGTTGTCCCTTGAAGTATAAAAAAAAAATCTCCAGGTCTCCAGGGGCTGGAGAGACAGCTCAGTGGTTAAGAGCACTGGCTCCTCTTGCAGAGGACCGGGGTTTGGTTCCCAACATCCTCATGGCAGCTAACAACCGTCTGTAACTCCAGTTCCAGGGGATCTGAGTCTGAGGGCATTGCACAACATGGGTGCACTTACACACATGCAAATAATATGCTCATACACATAAAATAAAAATAATAAATAAAATATTTTTTTTAAAAAATAATCCCAGCACTCGGGAGGCAGAGGCAGGCAGATTTCCGTGAGTTCAAGGCCAGCCTGGTCTCCATGGTGAATCCAGGACAGCTGGGGCTACAGGGAGACCCTGTCTCAAAAAAGACCAAGAAAAAAAAAAATCCAAAATAATCATATTGGTCTGAAATTGGTCCATGCCTGTTAATCCCAGGATGCTCATGTGGGAGAATTTCTAGTTTGAAGCCAACTTATATAAAAGTCAGCTTGGGCTATGTAATGAGACCCAATCTCATAAAACAAAGGAAAATAAAATTGGACTTAAATATTATTATTCAAACATGATATTCTCACCTGTTTCATAGAAAACTGAAAAATGTGTCGTTGCTCTGTTAAAAGATTACCCATTAGTTTGTGTCAGTGGATAGAGCTTTGTCTGCAACTTCACACCATACTGAACATGGACAGAGGTAGAAGCCTCTTTCAAAGAGTGTGTGGTGTGCTGCACCCACCCAGATTCCATGACGCTGTCAACTCTGGAAAATGAGGAGACAAGTCATGAAACCTGAAACTGGTTTCTTTCATAGAAATAGGGGTTTGCAAATTAAATTAGACTCTGGCTGACTTATCACATTTTCTTTTATGTGTCATTATAATTTAACTCTAAAAGTGCTAAGAGAAAGCAGATTTTGAAAACTACCTGATCTTTACACTTGAGTTAGTATATGAATTTTTTTTTAGTAGTCAACAATATTATCATGAGGAAAAGCAACTTGGCAGATAAGTTTTGAACTGATGAATCTCAGTTTTTTTAAATTATAAAGTTGAAGCTATCAGTGACATGAAATATGTAATTTTCAATCGGAACTCTGATTTGGCCCATATTATAGTTGAATCAATGAAATAAAACTTTTCTCAATTTTTTAAATGCAATATAACTTGTTTCACTGATGTTAAATTTTGAATATAAACAATATTTTCTTAAATTTGACATAGAATGTATGCACTACATTCCATTTGGAAACTTTAAAATAGTATAAATGAGAATAATTCTCAAAATACCTCAGCTGTGGCCCTGGCAATCTGATAGTCTTAATATCAACATGAATGTCTTTCTGTGCTAGTTCTTTGCTTCCTTTTCATCACGTTTTCAGAGTCCAGGATTAAATTATACCAATGAAATTGTTTAGTTATTGCATCATAGTAAAGAGAAGGACATAGAAGATTCTCTGATTTACAGACAAGAAAATGCTGAGAGAAGTGAAATTGCTTAACCCAGTCACAGACCTGATTTGTTGCTGTGCAGTGAGACCTTTTCTTGCTTGCTTGCTTGCTTGTTCTGAGACAGGGTCTTCGGGTAGCCCCAACTGGCCTGGAACTCGCTATGTAGACCAAGTTGACCTGGATTTCACAGGGATCCATCTGCCACTGTCTCTGCAGTACTAGGACTGAGTACCCAACTGTTTCTTGAAAGCATGTGTATCATTGCCTTGGACCTCAGCATACAGCATGTATTGGTGAGATTTCTCAGTAGACAGGGTATGACTATTAGTGTAGATGCTGTTTCAATATACAGGAAGGTGGAGCTGTTTTTTTAGTGTTGTTTTGTAGGCCAAAAAGATGAATGTATGATGGAGGCTTACAATGGATGACCTTAAAAAATACAAGTCTTGGCCGGGCATGGTAGTGCACGCCTTTAATCCCAGCACTTGGAAGGCAGAGGCAGATGGATCTCTGTGAGTTCAAGGCCATCCTGGTCCACATAGTGAGCTCCAGGACAGCTGGGGCTACAGGGAGACCCTGTCTCAAAAAGACAAAAAAAAAAACAAACAAGTCTTAGACTTTGTTCTTTGGAAAGTCATATAACTTGAGGGTATCTCAATTTAGGAAGTCTGCACTGCCTTTGATGTTAAAGAAGAAACATACAGGAGTCTGATGGAGAAAGGCCAACAGATGCTTGCAAGATGTCCCAATTCTACAGAGACAAATATTGACCAAGACATAAATAACTTGAAAGAGAAATGGGAGTCTGTGAAAACCAAGCTCAATGAAAAGAAAGTATGTGCTTTAGTATAATAGAACCAGTGTTTTTATTTGTTTGATTTCATGGGTGTTACTTTATTTCTAACTATCAAGACTGTGACTTAATGATTCGTATCCAAATTTTTTGTTTACACTTGATGTTTCATGGAGTGAGCAAAAATAGTATTCTAACATTGCTGAACAGAGCAGCGATTAGATAAAGATTCATCTTAAATCAGGTGCTGCTTAATATTACTCTATTTTTTAAACTATGAACCACTCAAGTTATAGGTGATTAAAAACTGTATTCTAATCACACATTAAATGAAAGAGGAATAGGATGGTATGATTTCATTTACAGTTTATAAGCACTATATAAAATTGGTGAAAAACTGTAATTCATGTCATGTTATACATTTTGTCAGTTTGTCTCAAACTATAGAAAAACATTCTAGGAGATCTCAATAATTACGCCTAGTTCAATAAGACAATAATAGGGTAGAAATACTAGCTTATCAGCCAACACTAATAGAACATAAGCTATTTTCTCATAAGATTTTGACTCCAGCAGTTATTAATTATATAAATGTCAGTTAATTACACTGAAGCAAAAGTAACCGAACCACAAGCACCAAATGCTAAATAATTTTTCTTTACAGACTAAATTGGAAGAGGCCCTCAACTTAGCGATGGAATTCCACAATTCCCTCCAAGACTTCATCAACTGGCTCACCCAAGCTGAGCAAACCCTGAATGTGGCTTCCCGGCCAAGTCTTATCTTAGACACAGTCTTGTTTCAAATTGATGAGCACAAGGTATGTAGGGAACTCAGATGGGACGCATTTGCCTCCTAGAGCCCAAGCTGCCTTCCTGTCAAAAGCCTGAATTTGGTTACTTGAAACCTTTTTTAGTATAATTTTTATTCTTTGAGAATATCATGCATGCGTACAATGTTTTTTTTATCATCTTCACCCTTACACTCCCCTAACTCCTCCCACATCTACCCTCCACCTTCCACCTGAACATTTTCTTTTGTCATTTAAAATAACACAAGCATTATGATGAGAAGCATTTTTGAAGTTGACCCATCTTCCCTTGATTCTAATTACGTCCTTTTTTGGGGAAAAGGTCTTTGCCAATGAAGTAAATTCTCACCGTGAGCAGATAATAGAACTGGACAAAACTGGAACCCACCTGAAGTATTTCAGTCAGAAACAAGATGTAGTGCTAATTAAGAACCTGCTTATCAGTGTGCAGAGTCGATGGGAAAAAGTGGTTCAACGGTTAGTAGAAAGAGGAAGATCTTTGGATGATGCAAGGAAACGGGCCAAGCAGGTAAGAAAGCTTTGTTGGAAGTCAGCGCCAGCTGTTGAAATGGATGTTATTAAAGTGCTTTTATTGCAGACTATGTCCTGTGTAACAACAGGAGCCAAGCTGTTTATTTCCTGGAATGGTATTGACCTATCTTTGGACTCTGACATCACTTTTTGTCCTGGCATAACTTTAGGCCATGGATACTCATCTTGAAAAGACATTATGTAGCTTGACTTCACGTAGGCCATCGTCATTAAGGCCCACAAAGAAGTTCCAAATTTTTGGTTAGGGCTTTGTTTGTTTTTCCCTTGTGCTTCCAGTCCCTTTTCTACTAAGACACTTGTACCAGACCATATTATATTGCTAGCTCCATAAGCCAAACTCTTTACCAGAGCTGAGAACCAGATCTCGAGCCTCCCAGCAGTTTCCTGACCCAACTCACTTCCCAAAAAACTTGTGGACAACCCTCAGTTCTCCCTGAGATGGTGGTACAGCCCCAGTTCACTTGAAATTTATTGTCTGAATCTGGGGCTTTAGTCTAGGGAATCTCACAAACCTTACCAGGAGCTTCCCCCTACTGCCTTTACCTGTTGTTAATTAGCACTCTGTTCAAGACTGACTGGAGAAGAGGTAAAATTGCACGTTTTTCTGCCCTCTGGCAATATACCCACCTTATGTGGCAGGGATCCTTTTAAAATGTTATTTTTTACTATAAACAGTACAATATTGAGGCTGAATTTTGTAAATTGTTTTGATAATTTTATACACAATACCCCATCTCCATCATTTCCACTCCTCTCTCTCCACCTCTTCCCACTTTGTGCCCCATCCCAGCTCCCTCTCAATTTAGTGGTGTTTTCCTTAATTATTAATGCTACATATTTATACAGTTGTGTATGTGCGTGTGTACAATCTACTGAGTCCATTTAGTGGTGCTCATCTGTATATGTGTTTAGGGCTGACCATTTGGGATTAGCTAACCTATCAGAGAGCTCCTTCCTGAAATTACAATTTCTGCCTCATTCAGCTGCTCTTATCTAACACTGGAAATGTTGTAGTCTGCTGTTTAGGGGAGCTAGGTTAACGAGTTAATGCAGAAAGTTATTTATAGGAGTCTAGCATTTTAGTGTTTAAAGCTAACTATGAATTTTTAAAGACTTTAGAATGACAGATTGTGTTAATATAGGATTGCATGCCATATGCCCCTCTTTGAGGGGGAGGTGTCACACTTTCAGTATCACTGAATCTCTGGAATAGAACCAGGCACTAATGATTCAGTCAGACAGTATTAATGCTGAGCTAACATATTTCTCTCCATGTTTCTTGAGTCATAAACAGTAATTTACAAAGGTTTATTGAATGCTAATTAGCCACTGCTGGCCCTTTTCCTCCTTTCTCCATTTAATCAATTCCCTTTTATCTCATTTTTATTTAACTTTGTAATTTCCCATTTTCAATGTGAATGGGTAGCATTTGCTCAATTTATGTGGCTTAAGAATAGCTTTGCAGCCTGGCATGGTGGTGCACACCTTTAATTCCAGTACTCAGGAGGCCGAGACAGGCAAATCCTCTGTGAGATCAAGGCCAGCCTAGTCTATATAGCAAGTTCCAGGCCAGCTGGGGCTATGAGGAGAGGCTGCCTCAAAAAAAGACCAAAAGAAAACAAAACAAAAGGATAGCTTTGGAAGTGGGATCAGCTTTAGAACCTGTATGTTTACACCTTGAACTGCTGTCCACCTGTTACCATGCCTATTTTTTGGAGTCAAAGTACCTAGTACCTACTCTTGTTGGCTTTTTCTTTCTTTCTTTTTTTCATCTTAGTTTTGGCTCAAATACTGATTATAGTTCTCTGACTTTGGCTTTCATGTGTCTTTCTTGGCCTGGATTTTTTCCACCTTCACATTAAATTTGATTAGAGCTGTGAGAGGGATGTGCAGGGCAGTGAGACCAGGTTTGACATGAGATGCTCTACAGTGTGCACTTGCAGCTTTCTGAGCCCTTGCCTTATTGTGCTGTTATGGTCCTACATCCTTATGTCATTATTAATGTATACAAGGATTTTTACACTGATTGCTTTAGCTTTTGCTATATATCTAAGTTTCTTATAAGAAATCATTTAAAACCAGTTTTACAATTTGACATCCAAAATTAGTACCCAATTGTTCTTCTGTAAGGTAAATGGAAAATAAACTGTAACTAGAATCAAATATATGCAGCACCAGAATATATGCAAGTTCCTAGAGAGCAAAGAAAATTAAATATCATTAGAACAAGTGCTGCAGTGCTTGTACATATAAAACCAGCATGTGGGGCCTCAGCGTTAGTCTGAGGGTTTGAGAGCAGAAGTAAGGATGTTGAACTATCACTGCATTAAATAAAATGGTAATGGTCTTTCTTGTCCTTGCTACATTTAAAAAACAATTTCCAAGCCTTATTCTTTTCCCTTTTATTTTTTTCTTAGCATAGGAGTTAAATACAGTAAACAAGATTTGTCAAGAGATAGCAAAGAAACAAAACAAAAACATTTTTTGAGAGTTTATATTAATTATTAAGCAAGAAGTTAAGAGAGAGAGGAACTTCTTCTTGGAGCTCCTTAACTGTGTCTGGGTTCTTTTCTGTACTTAGTAAAGCTAATATGTTGAATGAATTACAGCAAAATGACCACAGATCCCAATCACAAATGTCCACTGTTATCAAGGCACTTTGTGATTTGCTGGTGAAACTTGTTTTTCTTCAAGAGAAATTTTGAGTTAATTATTTTTAGTATATCGGTTGGTAATAAATTATGTTTTAAAATGTGCTAAATCTCAAACACTATGTGCTTGAAAACTTTCTGGACAAATGTGACTCTCTTCACCAGTTCCATGAAGCTTGGAGTAAACTGATGGAGTGGCTGGAAGAGTCTGAAAAGTCCTTGGACTCAGAACTGGAAATTGCCAATGATCCAGACAAAATAAAGACACAGCTCACACAGCACAAGGTGAGTTTCTCATTTCAAAAAGCATCCTGTCTATGTGTTTCAAGATCACTTCCAAATTCTTACTTGTTCATGTATTTATTCATCACTAGACAGATGAAGAGAGAATGCTAACTGTGAGAAGAAAGCATGCAGCATTAAAATTGGATGTCTTTTACAATCTAAAGCATACTAAGGGTTTAGTGGTTTAAACATTGACATTTCAGTTTTTCATGGAAACTGTCTTGTCTTACAGTATTTAGTGGGACAATCCCACCCTAAAGGTACTCCTGTAGTAAAAAGTAATACAGATACAGTGGTGTGTTCCATAATTCCAGCTACTTGGGAAGCTGAAGTAGGAGCCAGTCGGGAAACAGACAAGACCATGTCTCAAAAATAAATAAGTAGCCAGGCATGGTGGCATATAACTTTAATCCTAGCACTCGCGAGGCAGAGGCAGGTAGATCTTTTTGAGATCAATGCCAGCCTGATCTACATAGTAAGTTTCAGGCCGACTGGGGATACAGAAGACCCTGTCTCAAAAAGACAAAAAAAAAATTAAATAAATACATAAATCCTGTTAAACAGAGAGGTGGGAAAATTTTATTAAAATTACCCCAAAATTGGAAATTATATATCCATGTATATAAAATTCCATTCCTACCATCAGAGACACATAATGGCTTCTTCATGAAGACTAGAAACATATAAAATCATTTTTAACATATTTTCCCTTTTATATTGCTTCCATACGGCATTCAAGGAACATATTTCTACCTACCCTCCCCAAGCCTTTTGTATCTGAATCCCTCTTATTATAAAGTGACCACTGGTCATGAAGGTAAGGATGTGGGTAAGAAGCAAAGAGGTAACTACAAACAGCTTTGCAGTGTTAGGTCTCTCCATATTGTTTAGAACATGATCTTTTTTAAAGGCTGGAAAAATTTGGGATGATTTAGGATTTACTTCATCAGAAAATCCCAGCCATGGTCTTCACATAGACTGGTTGCTTCTATCTGCCAGTCCCTCATGCCCACAGGAGAATGGGAGGAGACATTGAGCATCTGCCCTTTGGCTGGGTAGTGGTTTAGGACTGGCTTATTTTGCTGATGGCTGCTGCCTGCGAGCCTCTTCAGCAGCCAGTGCCATCCATACTTCCATGATGGAAGATGAATCTCTTTCTCAAAACAGAATGCCCTATCTGACCTTGACCACAGATGTCGTATAATCTTATGAAACTAATCTTGCATTTTAAAATTAGAGGAACCTAGAAAATTTTCAAAAAATGCTGCTAGATCCTCTGTTGTGCCCAGTATTATCTACTACTGATGTCTGCCATTTCTCCAAGACACATTTCAAACAGTCCATTAAACTAGCTTTAAAAGAAAAGTTTTCTAATCAACACTTGAGGTCTTTGTCTTTGAAAAGCTCTAATCTGTCCTGTACTCATATATAATGCTTTGTATGTGTTCATTGTGTAGAGAAAATGTATCAGTACCATTATTCTAAACACAAGTATTCTGTTCGAAGCCACATGAAGGCATAATCGTCACAAATAGCAAACAGTAGAAATAGCATACGGTGACTGTCTCATTCCTTAAAATTTCTAGATGTAGTTTCCTCTTATAAGACAAAATAAAGATAATTTGGTCATATTAAAACATTTCAAGTATAGCCTTTGATGTGTGTGTGTGTGTGTGAATATGAGCCACATGAATGCCAGTGCCCATGGAAGCCATAGGGCATCATGTCCCCTAGAACTAGAGTTACATGTATTTGTGACCTGCCTGAAATGGATGCTGGGAACCAAACTCCAGACCTCTAGAAGAGCAGCAAATGCTCTAAATGGCTGAGCCAGCTCTCTAGCCCCAAGTATAGCTTTTAAAAGGCAATGAAAACTAAATGAGTAATTGTAACCCTGAAATTGTTTTTGGAAAATACGTTTGAATAGCTCTTTACTAGCCACTGTGATTCTAATGCAATGTACTGCCAGGATTGTAAACTCACTGTGCTAGTATGCCCTTGATAGTCTGTGAGCTTATCACCTGTGACTTCAGTTGACTTTTCTTCCCTTTTATTACTGATACTGTGTGGCAATGTTCTCATTTTTCTACTCTTTTTATAAAATGCTTGCAAATACCTACTAGCTTAAAAATGATGATGAGAGACCCACAAAAGTAGTGTCCCTGTTGTATAAATGCTTAGGATTGGCTTGTGTAGAAAAAATATAATTCACAACTCCCCCCCACACACATATGCATACACAAACATGAAGGATCTAGCTAACAGTGTAAAAGTGGCACAGTATAGATGTCACATTAACGGTATAGCTATTGGATACTGAAGAAATAATCTGTAGCTCCTTTGAAATACGGATAAGGCTTTATATAGCTGAGGAGGACGAATGTAGACTTTCTGAGGTTGTGAATAGAACAAGCAATGGGTCTAACCTTCAGACTCTAGAATGGAAGTTCTGAAGTCTTGGCTCACAGACAGAATTCATGTGTCCAGAGTAGCTAACAGCAAACTGTTACAGAATAGCTACAAAACCAGAACCTGCAGTGAATTCGGATTATCTCATCACCCTGTGTCTGTACTAGACTCACACTCCAGGCCTCATTTTTCTCTGCAAAACCTTTCATTTGATTAGCAGTTTCATTTTATTATCATCATTGCAGTGTTTGTGGTTTATATCTTCAAAAGTCTCAGGGCGGGGTATATAGCTTCATGGTAGAACACTTGCCTAGCATACCCAAAGCCCTGGTTCAGAAATCTCCCTATCACCACAAGTAGAAAGGAAGAGTCAGGATTTTGTTTTGCTTTGGAATTATTTTCTTGTTAATAATAGATACTCTTACAGGCACTGGGCTTCTAAGAGAAGACACCCTTCCATTTGAAAGTTTGAAGATTATATTTTCTACCCTGGGATATTCCTGTGTAGAATTTGCATGTTTGTCTGACTTGATTACTTACTGATGTTCCCCATGGCCAGGCTTCCATTTGTTAGAGATGCTTCTTTTTAAAGTTTTTTGTTGTTGTTTTGTTTTGTTTTTGAGACAGGATCTCCCTGTAGCCCCAGCTGTCCTGGAACTCACTATGTAGACCAGGCTGGCCTTGAACTCACAGAGATCTGCCTGCCTCTGCCTCCCAAGTGCTGGGACTACAGGCATGCGCCACCATGCCCGGCTTTCTTTTTAAAGTGTTTTAAAAAAACTAAATAAAATTTGTTTGTTCTCGATTATTTCATACATGTATGTAACACATTCTGGTCATACTCATTCCTCCACCCACCCCTATTCTCCTCCTCCCATCTCCACCAAACCCCCCCTTCCTCCCACCATGTCCCCATCAAACTTTCATGTTATAGAGGAAGGGTTTTTCTTGTTTTGTTTTGTTTTGTTTTGTTTTGTTTTGTGACCCACTGGGTTTCACCAGGACAGCCCATGTGGGCATGCTACTGGAATACAAGTAACTCACCATTGGTTACATCATTGAAAACAACTTCCTCTCCCCAAGCAGCTCCCCCTAGCCACTGCCAATAACTACCCTGGTTGGTGGCAGGCCTCATAAATCCCTCCCCCATGTATGATTAAATGTTTACATTTTGGAACTCAGCCTTGTGCAGACCCAATGCAAACAGCTATAGCTGCTCTGAGTTCATGAGTACCATCACCTTGTCATGCCCACAAGGCAGCATTTCCTGACTGTCTTCCCCATTGTCCAGCTCTTACATTCTTTCTGTCTCCTCTTCAGTGATGTTTCTTGAGCTTTGGAGAGTGTTATATGGAGCTTGATGCTGTGATACTAACTTGTCAGGCAAGATGTGCCTACTGGAACAATAGTGGCATGATTGTTATAGGGGTAACCAGCTGATTTTAGATTTGATCTGGGGCCCCTCCAGTTCTCTGGCACTGGTACTGAGAACCTGGTCAAAGATCCATGACTGGGGAGATCACAGGCACCAGAGGTGAACCAGCTACTTTTGTCTTGTTAAATGAACATACTGTCAAAGTGCCTCTTTAATATTTATGCTTACCCCATAGACTAGTGCTACCCTCAGCCTTGATCAAACAAGTTTCTCTTTGTAGCAAATAACGGTTAATGCAGACTCATGGCTGGTCAAGATGCTAAGAATAAGTGATTGTTGAGTGCTTAACTTTAAACAAGATCCTCCTTTTGATGCCTTTTACCTGTGTTTATTAGTTTAAGTAGATGCTTACGTTGGTTTCTTTTTAAATACACAGGAGTTTCAGAAATCACTGGGAGGTAAGCATTCTGTCTATGACACCACTAACCGAACTGGACGTTCTCTGAAGGAGAAAACATCATTGGCTGATGACAACCTGAAGCTGGATGACATGCTAAGTGAACTCAGAGACAAGTGGGACACAATATGTGGGAAATCTGTGGAAAGGTAGGCTGTTCCTTCAGGCAGTTTGGTGACTAGAGACTTCCCTCAGAGGTATAGCAGTGGTGTCTGTAGGGATGTTTCATCAACCTCAGATACGTGCTTTGTGTAAGGAACATCTGCTCATCCTCAGTGCCCACTCACATAGTGCCTACACTGATAAGACTCTAATCCTCCTGCCTCAGCTTCTTGAGTGCCAGGACTACAGGCGTGTACCATCATGCCAAGCTCCCAGATCTACTGTTAACTGTGCCTTTAATTTCCATACAGCTGCTTGCTTTTGGGTATGAAATAAAACAGAGGCTCTGTAATGTGGCATGCAAGGCATTGCTGATCAGGCCCAGCATTCCCTTCCAGCTGCCAGTCTTTCTCTCCCCCACTGCACTTTTGTGAAGGTCCAAGATTTAACCTTAAACCTCTCAAGTATTTAAGAAAGTAAAGTAGTAGTTAAAAAGTTCAAGTATATTATAAATGTATTTAATTTTTTCATTGATCCTTAGTTATGTTTCTCGAAAAGATTGAGTATACCTTATCCAAAATGCTTGAGGAAAAAAAAATATTCAGATTTAGGGTTTTTTTTCTTTCAGATTTTGGAATATTTGTGTGTGTATGTGTGTGTGTGTGTGTGTGTGTGTGTGTGTATCATGAAATAGCTTGGTTATGAGGATCTAGTCTGAATTAGAAATTCATCTGTTTAATGAAAACCTTACAATGCATAGCCTAAGATGGTTTGTTTGTTTGTTTGTTTGTTTGAATAAAACCATGTATTGACAGTTTCACAATGTGGACTTTTCCACTTGTGGTTTCATTTTGGTGCTGAAATTTTTCAGTTTGAACATTTTAACTTGGGAGTTTGGCTTTTAGGGTTCAATCTGTATCAAGATGAAATAAAGTATTTGGTTCTAGGTAACTTGAAGTGTTTCTTTTTATCTTGGTTTTTCTAATGTCAAAATGTTACATTCATTTTAAATGTCATATAAATGATTTAACTTATGATATTTTTTAAAAGGCAGGAAAATTTGAGTGATCTCACAGAGACCAGTGGATGCCAGGGTGTTAAATGGGGCAGAGTGCAATCACAGCGAGGGCATGGGAGAGTGGAGCAGTGCCACTCTGTCTAGATTGTGGTAATCGCAGGAATCTGTACATTTGTTGAAATTCATAGAATTATCTACTCAGAGAGGTCAGGGTTATTGTTTGACCATTTAAAACAATTTCTAAAATAAAAAATTTTTTAAAAGTTGTATTTTTATCAAAAATCATGAAGGACAAGTGATTTCCAGAGGTGAAGGAAAATTTACTATAACAAATGCCAGACATGAATTTAAAGGACTAAAAGAGAAAATTTGAGAAAAATTTTGCTGTTTTCTAAGGAAGGCAGAGGAAACAGCAGTGAAGACCATTATTTTCTTCTTCCCTAATGCCCCTCAGCCGCATACATTAACTTTAGAAGACTAATTTTTCCACTGTTTTTTCCCAGACAAAACAAATTGGAGGAGGCCCTGTTATTTTCTGGACAATTCACAGATGCCCTGCAGGCCCTTATTGATTGGCTGTATAGAGTTGAGCCCCAGCTGGCAGAAGACCAGCCTGTTCATGGAGACATTGACCTCGTGATGAACCTGATTGACAATCACAAGGTACTGCAATCCAGAATGTTCTTTTTATCTTGTTAGTTATTCTGAGTTTTGAGGAAAATATAACCACTTACAGTAGCCTTTTAAAGTCAGAATGCCTCACTGCATCCCTTGTCTTCATTACTGAAATACATGTTTGAGCAGAAGCAGGAATCCACCTTTAAAAGTGATGGGAGAAAACTACATGATCAATGAAATGCTTTTGTTTTCAGTTACTTGATCTAAATCCAACTTTAGAACTTGAAAAGCAGTTTCATTTTTTGTGGTGCTTTAAAACGTGTTTCAAGAATGGTTTTCTATTTTTTAGTTCTTCATTTAAACTATTATGTTGTAACATTTTAAAAAATCATTCAGTTGGTGACCTGGAACTAAGTCAGTATGCAGATCTGAGACACCGTGACCCATGGAGTCATGATTAGATGCTGTTCTTTAAAATCTGTTTTAACCTTGCCTCTTGAATTATATGCTGAGGTATTTATTACTTGTTTTGAGGAAATTTCTCTCCTTGCCCTTGTGATTTCCTAATACATAGGTTAAACAATGTTGCCAATCAAGAATGTGTTTGAGGTGTGCAGCTAGTACTAAGTATAAGGTCTTAACTTATGACCAAATGATACAAAACAACCTGGAGAGCCTTCAAGCATGGCTCACATACAGAATCTACGTTGTCTGCAAGCACCTTACAGTACTGTACCTCACTTGATGATGTACTCCTTCCCGTGATTTTCGAGTTCACAAAATGTATTTTATTTTAAAATGTTGTCTTTATTTATTTTTATTTTATGTATATGAGTGTTATGCCTGCATCTGTGTCGTGCAGTGTCCACGGAGGACAGAAGAAGGACTCGAATCCCCTGGAACTGGAGTTACAGAATGTTCTTAACCACCGTGTGGGTGCTGGGATTCAAACCTGGGTCTTCTGCAAAAATAGCCATTGCTCGTAACTGCTGAGCCATCACTCCAGTCCCCTAAAATGTTCTCTTCATAATTCACTGGCTATGCTATTCTGATACACCTGATCTTTGTGAAGTGTTCGCTCATTTGCATATTTCCATATTTATTTTCTTCTTTGTTTTGATTCTGTGATTATACCTATAAAAGAGAGTTTGTTATATTTAATACTAATAGAGAATAAATAAGGAGCATACTGGGGTTGTGCCTCCGTTGGTAGAATGCTGGCCTGGCATACTTGAAGCCCTGGATTTGATCCCCAGCACTGCCTGTTCCCTATTGTAGTAGCCCAGACCTATAATCCCAACATCTATCAGGTAAAGGCAGAAAGACCTGAAGTTCAAGATCATCTTCAGCTCCATAGCCAATTTGAAGCCAGTCTGGGCTACATGAAATCCTATCTCAAATAAAAGAATATTGGCCAGGCCTACAAAAAAAAAAATTTGAATTTAAAAAATTAACATAGCTTTGCTTATATTGAAGAAAATGTTTTGGGGCATGATTAACACAGACTTCTCCAGGCACTCATTCAGTGAGTAATGCATAATGTAATGTTACTCTTTACATAAATGCCATGTTTATAAGCTCACTGTCTAAATATTTACTACCATAGCACTTGCCAGATTTTTTTATATATTAAAGATCATCAAGAATGAATTTCTTATTAAGGATGAGTAATACAGTTGGAGGGCTCCAGAAGTTTAAGTATACAAAGAATATTAAAAGTACACTTTGAAACTGTTAGATAAGTTTATCACAAGTGAATATTTGGGTAATGTCCAGAGAGAGAGAAAGAGAGAGAGAGAGAATGTGTGTGTGTGTGTGTGTGTGTGTGTGTGTCTGTCTGTCTGTCTGTCTGTCTGTCTGCCTGCCTGCAGCTGCATATCATTTCACACTATCAGAGTGAAATCGTTCACAAAATTCACTACATTTTGTTTGGATTGTTTTGGATGAGTGCCCTTTTGTGATGATTTTTCTGAAAAATAAAAAAAATTTTATTTTGGACAGAGGTTGGTTATCTGAACCATCTAGTTTTATTTACAAACTGTTTGATCAGAAACAAAGAACCCTGGACTCACTTTTTAGGTTGACCAAAAGAAGTCAATTTCATGGCACATTATTTTAAAATACATCAAAATTAAGCAGAGGGGAAAAAGAATGTCCAAAGCTTTTCCTCTGAGATGATGATGTAGGTGTCTAAAATGTGAAATTAGGGGTCAGTCCTTAGGATACTGTGGAAACTGGGCATCTTACAGAAGACAGGACTACCTGCCAGCTCTCCATTGGAGCTTATCCTCTCTGGGCCCTGCAGTGTACACCGGCCTTGTGTTGTCGCCTGTTTATCTCTGGTGTGTCTCTCAGGACAGTAGGTGGCCAGCATGCTACTGCCACACTAATGACTTGAGAGGAATGGGACACTATGACAAGAGTCATAGAAAAAAAGAGTTTGATACATTGTGTGTGTGCCTTTGTGTGTGTGTGAAATTGAGAAGGCAGATCACCATTATTTAAATCAGATGTGACATTTAAAAAATAAGATATTGCCGGGTGTGATGGCTCACACCTTTAATCCCAGAACTTGGGAGGCAGAGGCAGGCATATCTTTGTGAGTTCGAAGCCAGCCTGGTCTACATAGTGAGTTCCAGGACAGCTGAGGCTACAGGGAGACCCTGTCTCAAAAAGACAAAAAAAAAAAGATATTAATATTCTGTTCCCTGTGAGGAGATACAAGACTGTAAAAAAATTTATCTAAGACTATGTTAACAATACTCAAATAGGAGCGATGGGTCATTTCTTACCTTGTGAAAATTCTGCTGAACTATAAGTCTTATATGTATGTTATGTGATGTTCTACACACATACACACACACATATTTTAACATTTTGCTATTTTGTCCCATAATTAGAAGTTAGTTATAATAAAAAGCTAATAATATGGTTTTCTTAGGTCTTCCAAAAAGAGCTGGGAAAGAGGACCAGCAGTGTGCAGGCCCTGAAGCGCTCTGCCAGAGAGCTCATAGAAGGCAGCCGAGACGACTCCTCCTGGGTCAAGGTCCAGATGCAGGAACTGAGCACCCGCTGGGAGACTGTGTGTGCACTTTCTATATCAAAGCAGACACGATTAGAAGCGGCCTTGCATCAGGTAAAATGAACATGAATGATAGCTAGGTATAATGGTTTAAGTGTGGGAACCACAGCAAGAACAACTCTAGTAAAGATGATGGGATCCTAATTTCTCATCCTGGAGAGTCATGAAGGACTCCTACCTAGCCTCACCATTGTCTTGATCCCACTTCCAGCCTTTCAAGACTGTAAATGACTTAAGAGAGACAGGTTGCTAAGCTGCACTTGGAAGTGATACTCAAGTAAATTTTCAGTTTCAAAGTATAATAAGCTGCCTCAAACTAAGCTGCAAAAGTGGTGAATTCTTCTTGTGAGTCTTGTTAACCTATTATATCTTTTCTTACATTTGCATAATGCAGTAAGATCTATCCTTATCTTTTTAATACTAGTATACATAATTAATTTAAATTAAGACTCTTTCATGAAGGGGGAAATCTATATAGTTCTGTAAATTTTACTAACAGGTATATCTGGAAATCTTTGTGTGTGTGTGTGTGTGTGTGTGTGTGTGTGTGTGTGTGTGTGTGGTGTTCACTATTAGGCAGAAGAATTTCACTCGGTGGTACATGCCCTCTTGGAATGGCTGGCAGAGGCAGAGCAGACCCTGCGTTTCCATGGTCTTCTCCCAGATGATGAGGATGCTCTCCGGACTCTCATTGATCAACATAAAGTGAGTCATTTCCAATTGATAAGTAAAACTAAATAAGAAAATCAGCAGAGTAAAAAGAATAAGCTCATGGTTACAAATAGCAGTGACATGAATTAATTCTTTACTGAGAAGTAACTAAACATCTGGTGCATTTAAGAATGAATCTCCATCCTCCCTGGTTACATACCTACGTTAGCATATACCTAATATACATGTGCATGTAGCTATCCTTTTAATCTCCCTTTTTAAAGAAGGCAGTAACTCTGTTTCCTGTCTCTTGGGTACATTGGCTTCTGTCCAAACATCAGTACATTTTGTTGCACTTTGATGTGGATTTCAAGAATAAAACTTCCTTAATGAGCATTTTAGCGTTTATAAAATTATTCTATTAGAATTAAAATGAGTTATTTTGACCTTTATATGAATAAGCAAGTCCTATTTTAAAAGCCCTAAAATATTATTTTTAAGCCTCTGATACTTCTTGGGTGTTTTTGTTTGCTTTATTTTTATATTTGTGCATGGGTGTGGCATGGACCACTGTGTACCCGTAGAGGTCAGAAGACAGCTTGCAGAAGTCACTTCTTTCTTTCTACCATGTGGATCCCATGAATTGAACTCACGACATCAGTTTTGGTGGCAAGCACTTTATGCTTGGCAAGCACCTTATGCCACCGAGCCAGCTCTCCAGCCCCACTTCTTTTTTTTAGTTAGGAGCCTTGTAAAATTATCGTGAGAGCTAACCTATGGTATTGCTTTTAATTTTAAACCATTAATCCATACTGTTGAAAAAACAGACAAAAAATCTGGCCACTGAGTTATCAGGCCAAGCTCTTTTCTGTACCAGTGCATGGAACTTGGCAAGACCCTTCAAAGAATTGTCCACATAGCTCTTAACAGATGTTTTTTAACGTTTAACTAGAAAACTCAAGAATTTACAATGTTTACATCCAATGTAGCGTTGATGTCAGCATTTCCTATTAACTTTAAAGATTTTTTTTCAGTACCACTAAATAGCTTTGCCTTTCAAGGTCATATTGGAAATATATCATTCTTGTTCAGCATGTATTACATCATCTGCATAGACTTCTGATTTTAATTAATATTCTTTCTCAAAGGGGCGTTGGCTACAGTAATGACGTAGTACCTTGCTTTTACTAAGAGTGACGCAAGCTTGCATGACTACCTGGATAGCCAACACTGTGCACCATTTAAATTTGAAACTAGACTACAAGAATAGGAAAACTGTCAAATGTAAATTTTAGATTCAGCTCAGTATTTACAAATCTAGTTTATATTACTGTGGGCTGACAATTAGCCAACACTGAGTTCCACAAAGTGCTAGGGTTTGGTTCTTAGAGGTATACCCACTGATGCCCATGGTGCAAATCTAACATCCTACAGAAAGACTGTATGTGGTATGGGCACCTGCTGTAAGAACAGCAGGACCAGAGAATCTTCAGGATGCAAGTATTTGGAACCAGATTGGAGTTTGTACAGCCAGTTATTTCAAAATATTTTAAAGTAGTGTAAATTTTTTTATTTATTTATTTTATGTGTATGAGTATGTTGCCTGCATGTATGTAAGTGTACACTTGTTGTACAGTGCCCGCAGAGGCCAGAAGAGGGTGTCATATCCCCTGGAACTGGAGTTACAGTTGTTAGCTGGCATGTGGGTACTGGGAACCAAATCCAGGTCCTCTGGAAGAGAACTGCACTCAGTGCTCTTAACCACTAAGCCATCTCTCCAGCTCCTACCTGTAGTTTGTTTTGTTTTCTTGGTCATGGTGGTGGTTTTATTTTCTTTTTTTCTCTGTGTTTTTTTAATTGAGTGTTTTAAATTGAATTTTTGTGATTTTTTTCATACAGTATAACGTAATGGCATTTAGATCACCTTCCTCCACCTGCACCTCCCCCATTACCCCTGCCCAGTGTACCCTATTCGTTTTATATATATAATGCCTATAGAGTTTAACCTGTCTTAAATGCCTCCATCCACTGGAGCCCAGTTAGCCTACCAAGAATCTCCCCCTCTCAGAAGCAATTGGTTGCCAAAAGTTCCATAGGTTGGGTTAGTGTTTCTTTACCCACTTTCCTATGTCTATGCTGGGATTTTGTCTTTTTGAGCTTGCGTGGGACTGGTCCATGCTGTCACCATTGCTGTGAGTTCATAATGAGTAACTGACCAGCTGTCTGGAAAACTCTGTTTCCTTGTGGTCACCCACCACCTCTGGCTCTTACAGTCTTTCTATTTACAGTCTCTTCCACAATGATCCCTCAGCCCGGGGAAGCAGAAATTTGATATGGGTGTCCAGGGATAAGCAGCCTGCAGCCTCCTTTTTCTCTGTATAGTGGCCGGTTGTGAGTTTCTATGTTAATCACCATCTGCTGCATAAGGAAACTTCTCTGGTGAGAGTTCAGAGATGCATTAATCTATGGGTATAACAGTAAGTCATTAGGGGTCAGTTTAATAAAGTATCTATTTAGTATAAAACTATTAGGGTGTCCTCTATGCCCTGTGACCTGTCTAGCCTCAGATTCCTAAGCCTGATACCAACTGAGCTGTTCTTTGAGGGTTTTGTTGTTGTTTCTGTTTTTTGAAACAGGGTCTCATTTAGTTCAGGCTGATCTCAAATGTATTATGTAGCTGAGGCTAACCTTGAACTCAATCCTCCTGCCTCTACCTCCCAAGTACTGGGATCACAGGATTGTACCACCATGATCAAACAGTAAATGAATGCCACTGAAATTCTGTGCTCAGCAAATGCCAACAGCTAATTGAAGAAGCCTTTGTTTCTGCTGTAGGAATTCATGAAGAAACTGGAAGAAAAAAGAGCTGAACTAAACAAGGCCACCAGTATGGGTGATACTGTCTTGGCCATCTGCCACCCTGACTCCATTACCACCATTAAGCACTGGATAACAATCATCCAGGCCCGGTTTGAAGAGGTTGGTGTGTCTCAAATAATCCTTAGTAGAAGTACCTTTGTAATTTGTAGATGGGAGAATGGGAAATTTCAGCAATTGAGTTGTACTCACAGCTGTGGGAAAATGAGACCTACATGGGGAAAATATTCTTTAAATCAGTCTTGTGGTATGCATTATCAGCCTCTGAAGTTCACCTTTCACTAAAAAAGTTAAAGGGATCTGCATCTATGTACTTGAGACCTTAAAAAACAGATACTTGGTTCACCATACAGCGATTTGTCCTGCCTGCTCATTGTGTCTGTTGAATAATCATGGAATGGTGTTTCAGGACAGTGATACTTCAAGCATGAATTGGAGAATGCACTGGTAATTAATCCATTGCTTAAGATTTAACTTGTTAGAGTTCTATTCTTTAAATGCTACCCAGAAAAATCATACTGGGTCCTTTAGATAATGACACATGAACTTAACAAAACAAAAGGAACAAGCCAAAGGAAGCCTGGATGCTGGGCACATCTGTAACCTTCAGATAGTGGCAAATATCCTAAAGGTGTCTTGGTACTTCTTATAGGATCTAAAAAGACAGAAATCTTCATGGGTTTAGCCCAGGATGAGCCTAATGTACATTTAAAATGAGTGTATTTTACATTAATGAAATTATTCCCCAAGTCAAAAGAAATTCAGTGAGCTTTCTGTTTCTGTAACAGGTGCTGGCCTGGGCAAAGCAGCATCAGCAGAGACTGGCAAGCGCTCTGGCTGGGCTCATTGCTAAGCAGGAGTTGTTGGAAACGTTGCTGGCTTGGTTGCAATGGGCTGAAACTACACTTAGTGATAAGGATAAGGAAGTCATCCCCCAGGAGATTGAAGAGGTGAAAAGCCTCATTGCAGAACACCAGGTAAAATAAATTGGATCTTAACCCTACTAGCCATCACCTTGGGTATTTTCTTTCTTTGGCTGTGATGCGTCTCACACATGTTCCACGGCTTCTGAACTAGTGAGTCTCGTTCTGCACCTGCCCTGTGACCTGTCTCTGCACAGTTGCCTCTGGAACTTTGCAAAGCCCTTTCCTCCTTTGGCAACTAGACAGCACTCCTCTGTTGCACACTAGCTCCTGAGCTACCTCTTGCCTCCTAAATGCGATCTCTGTTCTGTCCTCCATCTGATCCGCAGCTTCTGTCACTCCAACTCCCACCCCCTTTGGGCAGTCTCACTCATCACCATGGCTCCAGCCAATGCTTGTTTTATTGTTTCATGTTTGCATCCCATCTGTTTCCCAAGATGACCCACGTCGATATTCCAAATGCTGCCTACTTAAAAGTTGTGCTTTTTCTTTCTCAGATTGATTACTTACCCTGTGTACCTTGCTTATTTTAAACTCTGAAATAGGGGTTGGGGATTTAGCTCACTGGTAGAGCACTTGCCTAGCCAAGCTCAAGGCCCTGGGTTCAGTCCTCAGCTCTGGAAGAAAAAAAAAAAACCAAACAACAAAAAAAAAACAATGATGGGCATTATGGGCACTCTGATTCATAGTTTGTTTAATATGCAGTGACAAAGAGAAACATGAAATATTGGCATATCTAGTTAAGTCGTTATCATTCATAAAAATCTAAGTTACTGATGTTTATAGTGATGTTTGTAGTATCTCGAGTTATGTTCCCTGTGATCAGAGGTGTTATAACAGCCAGAGTTTTCCAGCATGGTAACTCTTTCAGAGCTACCTTACTTTTATTTTCACTTGTGTCTGCCTCACTTTTTCCCAATCATTTTTCACCACAGTCTCTGCCTTTCCTCGGCTTTTGCCACATAGGTAGGGCTTCCTAGTCAAGAATAACAGTAAGCCAAGGACACATAATAAGACATGACAAGATACTAAGCCTTTTAAATATACTGGAATAAACTTTAACTTCATTAACTTTCACCCGCCTTGAAATAGCTTGCTTATGGCTATTAAGTATATATATTTGCATATATATGCGTTTAATGTGGACTTTATATCACTGTATACCAAAGTCACCTTAAATACTTTGAATATATAAGTGGAATGTACCATGGCATAGTCCTAAGGACTGTGCCCATGTTGCCTTTGCAGAGAAATATTCACTAAAAGCTCTTGGAGACAAGCTTTGAAGTTGGAGCTTAGTAGGTACAGATAGTCACATATGTTGTTTTCAAACTAGACTGTGGTGTTCTTGTTTTTAATTTGAATTTACTTTGTCAGCTATAACATTTTGCATTCTTTAGAAATCAATAATGCCCAATTACAGTAGTTTAAATATTTTTCACCTAAAGATAAAACATGATAATTCTTCTTTAGAAATACTAGTACAGTCCTTTTATCCTTGTGTTTTCTATTCATTCCTAATGGTGAATTAATCTCACATACTTGTATTTACTCAGCATCACTTCTCATTTCAGACCTTCATGGAGGAAATGACCAGAAAACAACCTGATGTTGATAAGGTTACTAAGACCTACAAGAGGAGGGCAGCTGATCCTTCCTCATTACAGTCCCACATTCCGGTCTTAGATAAGGGACGAGCAGGAAGTAAGCAGCTATATTGGTTCCTTTTCTGTTGCTGTGATAAAACACCATGACCAAGGCCACTTATGGAAGGAGGAGTTTATTGGGCTTACAGTTCATAGGGATTCGAGTCCAGCATGGTGGGAGGCATGGTGGTAGAGGCAGCAGGAGCAGAAAGCTGAGTGCTCACATCTTCAAGCAGGCACAGAAACAAGGAGACAAGACAGGAAGTGGGACATGGCTGTGAGCTCTCAAAGCCCACCCCCACTGATGTGCTTCCTCCAGCAAGGCCACACTTTCTAAACCTCCACAGCAAGTGCCACAACTAGTACCAAGTATTCAACTACTTGGACCCTATGGGGAACACTCATTCAGACCATCACAGTGGAGACAATTCTCAAAAATAAAGATGGCTGGACAAAGAAGCTAGTTTTCTTTTATCTTAACATTTGAAATTTTGGAGCAAGTAAAAAGCCTTGTGAGTTCTGTCATAAGAGGTTTTCTTGAAAGAAAACATAGGCACTAAAGTATTGGAGCACTTTGTTTAAAATTAAAGAAAGGGCTGTGCCCAGGATCCTATATTTAACTTTGTTTAAAGTGTATCTTTCAGATTAACTAGAAGAAATTGGAAAAATTTGCAGGAACCCTTTGAATTGGTTCATTTTTCTTCTATTATATAAATAGCATTCAAGCTAAACTGGCAAAATTGACTGTGATCTGGATAAAGAACATAATCTGTTTCTGCTCCAGCTCATGTGGCTTCTGGCTCTATTTACTAATTCACAGGCAACCTTAACCCAACACAATGACATTAAAAACAGTAATCATTAGCTTGAGAAGGTTTTTCAGAAGTACACTCTACATTATAAGTTTTGTATATTTTTGAAGGGTGGGAGCAGAGCCACTACAGCTAGTTTTAGTCAAGGAGGCTAGGTAACTGAGAACGCTGGGGAGGCTCCTTGGCTGCCTCCCTACAACTGGGAAGCATGGCCTTGAGCAAGTTTAACTCTTTCATGGCCTCAATTTCTTCATCTGCAAGAGGATACTTTTATCCTCTTTAGACTGAGTGAGCTAATGCATGTGAGGTAGTTAAGTATACTTTCAAGAGCATTTGGTTACCCTCATTAGTTTGAGCCTAAACAATGAACACCGGCCACATCTAGCCATTTATTTAGATAGAGAGGGTGGGAGAAGCATTGTGATCATTGTTTTATGCAGTTACAGAAACTTGTAGAAAACAGCCAGAAGGAGAAAATTGACTCCGTAAATTTAAGTATGTTAAGTATGTGCAGGAAATATAAATGCTAGGTAGAGAATGGATTTGGGAGAATGGTGGGAGCAGTGCACATCTTCCGGATGTTGGGATTTGTGAAGCCCCCTGCTGTGATTGCAGAGACTGCTCCCTCACACTCTCCTTTCAGCCTTATTCTCTGAGAAGGGTAGCTGCCTTTGCTCTAACCTACTCTAAGATGTGCCTCACTGTGCTGGGAGGTTTATTTCTCTTGCCTCAACAGAGAGTCCCAGGAAGCTGCCTTGCTGTTGAAATGACATGAATTTTAAGTAGGAAAAATTTTAACCATAAATTTATTGAAAGAACTCTCCAGTATTTAAATGTCCCCATCAAGACGCATTTCTGTACTTTTTATAAGATTAGAATATAATCCTTAATAACTAAGAAAGACTTGAGCCTTGACATTACACTTCACCTAAATTGGATATTTCTCCTTGTAATGCACAATAATTAAATCAACTCAGCCTTGACTAGGCATAAAAACAGTAAAGCCCTAACACATATTAGCACCTGGAAACTTTGCCATCCTAATTGGAGTTGTATTTTAACAGGAAAACACTTTCCAACCTCAAGTTTATATCCATCCGGGTCACAGACACAAATCGAAACCAAGAATCCCAGGGTGAACTTACTGGTGAGCAAATGGCAGCAAGTCTGGCTCCTGGCGCTGGAAAGGAGGCGAAAGCTCAATGATGCCCTGGACAGGCTGGAAGAGGTCTGTCTGCACGTGCATGTCCATCTATCCCTGTGTTGTCCCTCACCTTCATTTGTCATAACGCACTGCATGAAATCATTTCTTTTACATGAGCAAATTCTTATCATTTGAATCCATATGTTTCTTCTGAACAAATTCTAAGAATATATTTGTTTCTATAAAAAAAAAACTAATTTATGGGATTTGGATTCAGGGAACCAAAAAGTTAAAAACTTTAAAATTTTAACGGTTAGATGCTGATTGCTTAAGAAAAACTCTTGAACTTGACATATATTTGCTGATGATAATCTGCTTATAGTTCAGATCCTTTAATAATATACACCCCACGACTGGGGGTTTTAATTTTTATATCCTGAAATTTGAAATTTTTAGATGTCTAGGCAAACTGTAAGAACTTGTAGGCAAAGGCCTGCACCTTTCACAGAACATAGGGTCAGCGTTGACATTGGGACAGCCCACCATTGTGTCTGCTGTCGTGAACAGTTTAACTTCAAAGTTTAACTCCAAAGATTTTTAATTGTAAAGAAAAGAAAATGACATGATGAAGTATTCTTAATTTTTAAAAATGTTTCCTAGTCCCATTTGTCAGAACCCATCTTTCTCTAAAATGGGAGAGATGGGTCTTACCTGGAGGACCATCAAAAATGATTCATCTCAGTGTAAGGTACAGTTTGATGTTCGCACCCATGCACACACGGGCAGCACTGATTGGAATTAGTAGGTTATTATTTTTTTTAAAGGTATGAAATTGGGAGGAGGATGCGTTGGATGAGGAAATTGAGGGATATGTTGCATTTCATTGCATATACATATGAAATTCTCAAGAATAACTGTATTAATTCAACTGTGAACCTAAAAATTTTATAGCCACTTTTGAAAGAGATGCATCTTTGCTCTGGAAATTGTTATTGAGTACGTTAAAGCTGTAATGAAATGCTTCTAATAAAAAAAAAAAGTTTTAAAGCTACGGTTTAAGTACAGCACTAACTGAACCAGAACTTTTCCCCTTTCCAGCTGAGGGAATTTGCTAACTTTGATTTTGATATCTGGCGTAAAAAATACATGCGATGGATGAATCACAAGAAATCTCGAGTGATGGATTTCTTCAGGAGGATCGATAAAGATCAGGATGGCAGGATCACCCGGCAGGAATTTATTGATGGAATTCTTTCCTCAAGTAAGTCCAAAGCAGATGACTAGAGCTGAAATAATTTTTACAGAAAATAAGCACAGTTTAAAATTGTGGGGCTGCTAGATCCCTAAGTCACCTTGTTTGGTAGATTAGTCATTTGTAAGCCTGACAGATACTACAAAAAGTTATTCTCAATGTAAATTTTATATGATTTATTCCTTAGTAGCAGTTGAATCATATGAGATTTCTAGTACCAAACAGTTGGCAACCTATAAGACAGCATGACTCACCCTAGTTCTTAAAGATAAGTCTGGATTGTTAACTGTTCATTTGTTATGATATGAACCTGTTTTCTAGCCAGGTGTGGTGGCGCATGCCTTTAATCCCAGCACTCGGGAGGCAGTGGCAGGTGGATCTCTGAGTTCAAGGCCAGCCTGGTTACATAGTGAGTTCCAGGACAGCAGGGGCTACAGGGAAACCCTGTCTCAAAAAGACCACCCCCCATAAAAAAAGAATTTTAACATGTTTGATCACCTTGATGAGCCACATTGAGGCTAAAATATGCAGTCAAGTATATCTTAAGGTGTAATTAACAAATTACCTGACTTACCATTGTCTGGCAAATTTTAGAGTTCCCAACCAGTCGCCTGGAGATGAGTGCTGTTGCAGACATCTTTGACAGAGATGGTGATGGATATATTGACTACTATGAATTTGTAGCAGCTCTGCATCCAAATAAAGATGCATACAAACCTGTCACCGATGCCGACAAAATTGAAGATGAGGTACTCGTCTTCCATCTGCATACAACAGTAATAGTGTGTCGTGCCAGGATGCCATGTGCAGTTCATAACAACCATTTCATTTATTTCCATTTTGTCAGTTTTTAGTATCCCACGGTGAAATATCAACACTAAAGTGAATATTTCATCTTTGTTTTTGGCAGGTCACAAGGCAAGTAGCTAAGTGTAAATGTGCAAAACGATTTCAAGTTGAACAAATCGGTGATAACAAATACAGGGTGAGTTTTCCAAATAACTTTATAGTTCCTTTAAAGGATAGAAATTGAAATTTGTATACACTTTGATCTACATTGTTTTCTAGGAACCATAATTATTTTTACATCATCTCAAAATGTAGTGGTATATGAAACCCCAGTTTTTATCATTTAAAATTATATCAGTTTGCCAGGTGTGGTGGCAGACGCTTTTAATCCCAGCACTTGGGAGGCAGAAGTAGGCAAATCTCTGTGAGTTCCAGGGTACCTGGGACTTCAGGGAGACCCTGTCTCTAAAAAAACAAAACCCTAAAATTTTATAAATTTACAAATTATATAATGCGCGTGTTATAATAAGAAATGGCTTGCATTTGCATATTAAGCTATATTTTGACATTTATAATATGTACATTATCTTTTAAATGTTTTTATATTTATTTTGTGTGTTTGTGTGTATGTGCGCATAAATGGATGAGTGTGTGCATGCTATGGCATACATGTGGAGGTCGGAGGACAACTTGTAAGAGTCAGTTCTCTTCTTCCACCATATGGGTTCCAGAGGTCAAACTCAGGTCATCAGGCTTGGCAGCAAGCACCCTTACAGCTACCTCACCCATGTGCACACTACTTTTTTTTTAATTATTTATTTAATAACCACATGATTAGAAGCATTTCATTATAGCAGTAGCATATTCAGTAACAATTTCCAGAGCAAAGATGCATCTCTTTTCAAAAGTGGCTGTAAAATTTTCAGTTGAATTAATACAGTTATACAATATTGAACTCAGAATAAACCCTTTAAGACATAAAATTGAATGAGGTTTTAACCGTTAAAAAATATCTCCATTTCAATTTAAAATGTATTGTTTCATACAGAAAAACTAATTTTTAATGCTACTAACAGATGTTTGCACATGCATCTCTAATCTCTATGTATCTGATTATTACTAGTCACAGTCGGTTACTTTCTGAGATCCTTGGCACCTGAGCATGGATATAAAATCATCAGGTAGATTTCAGTGGTAATATGTTTCGCCTCTACTAATTAACATGAAGCAAATTTTTATGCTTCTTCCTCAAATATAACTCATTTTTTTTAATCTGTTGATTTTTTTGTATTTCATACAGAACATTCCAGACAATCTTACTCATCTATATACACACACGTCCCAAATAGCACCCTCCCATAGTCTCCCCCGTGCCCCCTACTGGAGCCCATATTCTCTGTAATCCCTGTTACTAGTGTCCACTGTGTTGTCGGTGCCCCCAGCCATTCTCCAATGTGCACGTTACTTTTAAGGAGAAAATTATTCACAGTAAAATATCCAACTCGCGTGTGTGTGTGTGTGTGTGTGTGTGTGTGTGTGTGTGTGCATTTAAGCTGCTTCACATTACTTTGTATTTTATTATGATTAAAGGTAAGTGTCCAGATTTTTAATAACGCTATTCCAAACCAAAATCATGAAATTAAAAATACTGACTCATAAATATGAAAAAGGCAGATTTTTTTCTACTTACACAGTAACTTTTATTCAAAATATCAGCTAACTTGGTTCACATTCAAAATAGAGAAATGTGATTATCATTCTGTCTTCATTTATTTTTTCTCTTCTTTGAAACATCTCCTAAAGTAGTAACTAGGTAGAAAATGTGCTGAGCAGCCATAATATACTGTGTTACTTAAGAATGACTACTTTCATCTTTTAAAAAAAAGTTCATCTACATACTGAAACTTTAACTTCAATTCGAAGTCCTAAGAACTTTCCAGTAAATTTGTAGAGAAAATTGTGGTTGTTTGGTTTACATTGGAACAGCTGGGTACACACATCTCTAGACTAGATACTATTTCCAGAAGCCAGAGTATGAGTCTGTGTGTTCTCAAGTCATATAGAAAGTTTCCTGTTGAACTAATTGTGTCTTTCTTCCATTTTTCATTTTTTATCAGTTCTTCCTGGGAAATCAGGTATAAACCAGTGGAATCTCAAGTTCTCAATGATTTTTTTTTAACTTAATTCATAGTCATTAAAGCTTGCCATGGCCAGTCCCCCCATGCTGTCTCGCTAGCTACTACAGTGTTGGTTGGCGTGGTGTCTCTGTGAGCGCTATGAGAGTCTTTGATGCGGGACTCCTTTATTGCTTTGTGTCTCATGAGATTACTCTTACGTGAACCAGATAATGAATTGTAGCTTATTCACTGGCTACAGTGATGCAAACACGTAGTTCCCCATTGTTAGTAATACTATTAACATTACTTTCATGCAAGGAGTTGTTGGAACACAAGTTTGATTGTCCACACATCTTTGTCTAACTGTTCAGGACACAGTATGTAGTAGCAGAGAGGGGTCAGCACCAAGCTGTGAACATGGAAAGACACGGCACTGAAAGGTCTCCATGGCACTAAGCCACAGGTCACATGTTTGCTGCACAGCAACCACCTCCACTTGTTCTGAGCTGTTAGGTGTTTCATCTCAAGTTTGAAGTGATGGCAAGGCACCCTTTGTGCCATCTTGGCCACATGCTAATATTGACTTTTAAGTCAGCAAGAACCGCCTACCAACACTGCAGCACAGTCCAAATTTAAAACTGCACACAGGAGAAATTATGCTTTGATTGCCACATGTCCAGGGTTTATTTCTACTGTCTTCTTCTGTGATATTACTAAGTGGCTCCATCAGAAGATGTGGCGCATCTTAGGTCTCAGGTTACCTCTTCATGTCCTGCTAGCCAAAAATTGTTTAAAACAAAACCGCTCCATTACTTTGAATTGAGTTTTCCAAAGAAATGTTTTTAATTGACATATAATAGTTGTATATATTTATGGGTACAGTGTGATTCTTTGATACATATGAATAATGTATAATGATCAAACCAGAGAAAAATACTCATTAGTTAGTTACAACACATAAAATGTTACTTTTCCATTCTGGTATTTTCTGAGTCAGGATAGTATCTTCTTGTACTTACAGAGAGAGTAAGAAAAATACTTACCTCAAAAGATTGTATGTGCTGGGCATGGTGGCACACACCTGTAATCCCAGTACTCGAGAGGCAAAGGAACATGGATCTCTGTTGAGTTCCAGGCCAGCTGGGGCCTCAGGGAAACACTATCTCAAAAATTTTTTTTTAAGATTTCATGTGCTAAAAGTACAAAGAACGATGTTTATCTGCTTTTCTTGCTTCATAGTTTGGCCATCAGGAAATAAGAGAAATTCTAAAGATATTGTTAGTTGTTTGGAGAATACCTTTTAAAGTAGAATCAAAATATCATTCTATAAAGTATTTAGAGTTATTTTCTCAAAAATTACTTTGAACAAAATTATCAGATCCAGTTATCTGGTTCCCTAAGAGTAATTTTCTTCACATCCCCTCTTTTCCCTTTGCTTACTACCAGCACCAATTTTTTCCTAACAGTACAAATATATGTTTTGATTTTTAAATTTAATTTTCATTTCAGGAACAGGTTCGTCTGTAGGAATAATTAAGTTTTAGTGTTCAAAACTGAGATTTCAAAAATAGCTATTTGTAGAGGTGTGATGTAAAACACCTGAGTCCCTGCCTGTGTACTCTTGTGTCCTCAGTTTTAGTTTCCTGAGTGGAGTTTGGTTGGTTTTTTGTTAAGCTTCTTATCCTAAAATCCAATATTAAAGATTATTGAAAAAGGGTAGACTATTTCTACTCAAAGTTTTCTGTTATCATGGTAAACCCAGACGGTAGTCAAAGGCACAGTTCTAGCTCCCTGCCATATGAAGACTCTATTTACATTTAATTAACTGTTCATTTTGCTTTGTTACTTGTTAAGTTGGTAACTGTGAAATTCAGCGTCGTGGTCTTCATAAGTTGAACATGAGCCTCTTAGAAATGATTTCAAAGAATAAAATCATTTCTCACAGACTTTCAAAACAAGGAAACATCAGAACTGCCTGTGGCCTAGCATTTGTTCAGGACTTGGAATTTGTAGCACATCCAGGTGATTGATGATTCATTTGTACCAGTGGTACAAACAGCTTTGAGAGAGATCTTTTTAGATGTGAAAGCTGTGTCTTTAGGAATTTATTAGCAGCTGCTATAATATTACTGTAATCTAAAGTGGCATATTAATCCAGTCTTTAACTAATTGGTTTGCCAGACTATAAAAGGTACAGAAATTTTAGTTGGGTGTGAAATTGTTACTAATCACACTCATTAACTGCTTTGTTCTCCCACGCTGGAACTTTAGTAGGCAAAACAAATGAGTCTGTTAAGATGTTTTCCACAGATTTCAGAAGACAATGGTTTTAATTTTAGAAGTAGTTTTCACAAACTAGTTCATTGTATTTTCCTCAGAATCATCTTAAGTCCTGGGCAAATGGGCCATGCTTATTTTCCTGGCTGCGCTTAATTTCTAGAAATATTTCTCAATTTCTGCCTTGCTAAGAAAAATAATATTCAACTTTTAGACAAAAAGCTTCAACATTGTACTTGATAACCCTTGTAATCTTTTTTTTTTTTTCAAACTACTTTCTTTGGGCTAAATCAGCATGCAGCAGTCTAATGCAGATCATTGCGAACCCCTTTTAAGAGTTTACTAATCACTGTGAACTAAGCAAGAAATGAAAGTAATTTGCTAAGCTTCTACACACTGCGCATCACCCTTTAGTCTAGAATCATTTTTGACAATTATAGGTTCTTTCTTTCTTCAGTTTGGAGACTCCCAGCAACTTCGCCTGGTTCGGATCCTGCGAAGCACAGTGATGGTCCGTGTTGGAGGTGGATGGATGGCTCTGGATGAGTTCTTAGTGAAAAATGATCCTTGCAGGGGTAAGGAGATGCTATGTCAAGGTCCAGCACCACAAATGTACTGCTGACTCTCAGCAACAAAAGCATTATTGTTGGCCATAATTTAAATCCAGTAGTGAGTGTTTCACATTGGCCTGTAAAGCGTGTTCTCTATTTTCCTTTTCTCCTGTTTTGGAATAAATCTGAGATAGTTAGACAGGAAATACTAGTCTAGATTTTCTTTTTAAGACTTTCTGCGGTTGTCTAAATTCTCCAAATAAAGGACTTCTGTCTGCTATTGAAAGAAAATTGAGGCAACAAGGACAATATATTGGATAGTAAAATTTTAGAAGTCAAATTTTTATGAAATGAGAGAGGAGAGGAAAGTAATACTTAAAACAATAAGGAGCTATGACTTGACTCTTACTTTGAAGTTGCAGAGCAGAATATTACAAATGAAAACATCGGGCTGGAGTGATGGCTCAGCGGTTAAGAGCACTGACAGCTCTTGCAGAGGACCAGGGTTTGATCCCCAGCACCCACATGGTGGCTATGAACCATCCTTAACTCCAGTTCCAGGGGAATCCGAAGCCTTCTTCTGACCTCCGTGGCATTGCATGACATGGGTGCACTCACCTACATGCAGACAATACACATAAAATAAAAATAATAAATAAAATATGTATTTTTAAATTTTTACAAATGAAAACATCGTATGGTAGCTCTCCATATCTACCAGCCCTGCAGTCTTGGGTTAGCTTTTTTTTTTTTTTTTTTTGGTTTTTTTGGGAAAGGGGCTCCCTGTACCCCCACCTGTCCTGGAACTCACTATGTAGACCAGTCTGGCCTTGAACTCACGGAAATCTGCCTGCCTCTGCCTCCCGAGTGCCGGGATTAAAGGCATGCACCACCATGCCCTGCAGCTTTTAACATTCCTATTTTCCTGTCCCACAGTCAGTTTTTTAATTCTTAGGTGATTTATATTATAAATGAGCATTTGATTACAACTTCTAATTAAGTACCATCTCCGTAAGCACACATTTTTTTCTGACTTCTATAGGATTCTGAAACTGTAGGATTGTCATGGTTGGCTTTAATCTGTGAGCTTGTCTTTTTAAAATGTCTGCTCAGCTTTGCCTGTCAGGCTGCCATCTGGGAAGCCCAGCAGGACACCTGCATTTGGTGCTGACATCTGCCTACACAGATATGTTAGAGTCGGCCTGTCTGCCAAGGCCACTCTGAACTGCTCTATAACCACGCAGTGGCCCTGCTCTCTGTCAGCTAAAGATACACCTAAAAGAGCAGCTAATAAGGGGCCCCCCTCAACAATGGCGATATGCTTGAGAAATGGCGTTGTCAGGCATCTTTGTTACTGTGCAGACATAACATGTACTTAATACAAATCTAAATGGTTTAACATCCTATACACCTAGGCTGCATGGTGTGTGTATGTGTGTGTATAGTATATAACCTGTTGCTCTAAGACTTGTGATAAATAAGACAACATGTGATTAAATCAAGTACAAGATAAAATTATGCAACCAGGAAAAGCAGTTGATATAAGATGTATAAGGCTATGGCTGGTATAACATGGCATGCTGCTTTGTAAAAAGAAAAAAGAACAACCACCACCACCACCTGGGGCTGGAGAGATGGTACAGTGGTTAAGATCACTGACTACTCTTGCAGAAGACCTGGGTTCAGTTCCCACATGGTGGCTAGCAACTGTCCATAACTCCAGTTCCAGGAGATCTGATACCCCCTTCTGCTGTACATGGGCATTGTGGAACATGGATGCACTTACATACAGGCAGGCATACACTCATACACGTAAAATAAAAATAATAAAATATTTTTAGAAGAACCTTTCTTGTAAGTAGAAGGAATAGAATACCCTCTGGCAATAACTATAATATGACAAATACATAAACAAGTAACATAGTCATTGTTACCACTAATGAAGCATTGCATCCTATCTGTAACTATGTTACACTTTCATGTGACTGCCACTGCAGTAGACTTGTTCAGAACAGCGTCACCACAAAACACATGAGTAGTATGTTCACCATACCATTGCTATGTAGATGATGAGAAGTTTTCAGCTCCATTGCAGTCTTATGGGACCACCATCATCTACAGTGTGTTGTTGATAAAACATCCTATGACTGTACTTGGAAAATAATGCAGTCCAAGGTTGCAGCTTCATTTAGGAAACAAAGCAATTCAAATGTGTACTGTTCTGTTGGATAGGGTCAGGGAAAGTCAACATGACTGGCCAAGTCTTCCAGCTGTGTCCTCCTTGTCGAGTCAGACCTTACAGGGCTTCTTCTCCTGTTGCAACTCTTCTAAATGTGCTAAAGGCTGGATCTGAGCACCCTTCGCATATCCAACTACTGTACTTTGTTTCTTCTGCTAACAGTATTCTTTAATGTGATTGGTATCCTGTGTCATTTTTTCTAGTTCATCATCATGGGAGTAAAATGTTACGTTCGGAATCAAACTCTTCAATTACCACTACTCAGCCTGCTATAGGTTGGCAACCCCTCTTTGCCTCTCCCCTCTCTTCTCTTTCCTAATTTTCCATTCTTGCTTTAATAATTTGTTTTAATACACTATGCTTCATTCACATGTATGGCTTAACTCATATCCAGCTGAGCTGGGGCTTCTAATTTTAAATTCTAGAAACTTAACACACTTGTGGTGTGTGGCAAATACAAGTGATCGAGCACCTGCTAACACGTTGCTCATCGGGTTCTTGTGGAGTGTTCTCCGTGTGCATATGTGTTTGTATGAGTGCTGCATCACTGATTACGTGGACTCCTGGGTCTGGTGTTTGTTACTGCATGTTGGTAAAACAGTTTTTAAGGCCTAAAATTAAAATACTAGCTGCCTCATTTCAGTGAAAATTCTGGAAGTTCATATGTTATCATCATGACTAACAAGCCATCTCTGATACTGTGTCATTCTGTTGTTTAATCCCAATATTAAATACTGGCAATTCTCCTACCTCAGCAGTACATGCAAAAGACACAGTCCCTGCTTTCCTGGCTTGTCTTCTCAGTGTGGTAAAAGGATAGTAAGACCATGTGGCCATCAGTAGCTGGTGGGTTAACAGTATTTAAGCATGAGCTTTCCATTTTCATGCTGACTCTTTCTTTTGTAGTGGTTATTCCTGCTGGTGTCTAGTGTTAGAATAAGCACACCTTTTCCCCTTCCCTGAATTCACTTGTATCCAAGAGGAATGCATTGTGAAGGAATGCATTTAACTTCTTGTTATGCTGAGTTGGAGTTGGCATGGCACAAAGATGTTCTCAAAATTCTCAGCGCTTTTTCTGGTGCCAGGTGACCCTCTTGCCATAAAGACTGAATGCTTTTTCCTTTCATTTTTTTGTGCACTTTGGTGTGTGTGTGTGTCATCTAGCTAAAGGAAGGACCAACATGGAACTGCGGGAGAAGTTCATCTTAGCAGACGGTGCCAGTCAGGGTATGGCTGCTTTCCGACCACGGGGCCGCAGATCACGGCCTTCCTCACGAGGAGCTTCGCCCAACAGATCCACCTCTGTGTCCAGTCAGGCCGGCCAGGTGGCCTCCCCACAAGTGCCTGCCACCAGCACGCCAAAGGTAGGAATCCAGAATGTAGTAGTTTCCTCTTCTAATGTAATTATTGTTCTCCAAATCCTTTTGGATGTTTTTAAGTCCATGGAATTTGTAGGACCAGCTGGGTCCATTTGTGTCCTTTGTCCCCATGTTTTTCTACTATACTTTGCCCAGTGACCCATAGAGCAATTGTCTGGACAACAGTGACCTGTCTAGGGGCTTTTATCTTTCAGATTGATTTGTCTGTTTATAGCTTCATTTCATTTTTTTGGTGTGTATAATTTGTCATCATATCTTTCCACTTTTGTTTTTATTCTGCTTTTGAAATATGAGTCTATGCTACAAATATCTCTTTCTGTAGCTTCATTTTTATCTGCTATCCTTTACATTTGATTTGCCATTGTTCCATGCAGATTCTCCATCCTTTAACACGCAATTATGGTAAACCATGGTTGACAAACAGCAAAATGTCAACTTCTTGTAAACCAGGAATGTGCTCAGACTTTGCCGTGTCATCTGCAGAGGTATTGTAAGGTCCCACATTTGTCTTAACAGTCTTTTTCAGTTAATTGAAACTATCACCCACTAACACTGCTTCACTACTGCCTTAATATATGTACTTTTGATGATAATAATGTCCTTTTGTCACCTTTATAAAAGAAGTATCAACCTACCAGTTCTTAGGAGATATAAGAGTAAAGCCTTACCAGAAAAGACGGTGTCTGTTTGGCACAGTCGCACCATGAGGCTACTTACCTCCTTTGTTTTTTGTTCTCATTCATACTCAGTTCTACTTGTATCACTTGGAAGAATAAAACACAAGGTGTTATATGCAGACCAAACCTATGTAAAATTTCTTTTAAAGTTGGAGGAACACTCTTGCCAGTAGGCATAATTCGAGCAAGAAATGTGCACATTTTTCTTAAATGAGAATGAGAAGCAGTATCATATGCAAAAAAATTACTTGAAGGATGTTCACCAAGGGTGGTCCCTCAGAATGTCTGTGACAGTCATTTCTGCCTAACTACCTTGGCTGGGTTTGTATCCAGGGATGGGCATGGGTATGTAGAAAACTGTCATTTTCAAAAGGTGTCTTTGTTGTATCTTAGTAACTGGTATTATTTGCACACACAGTAACTTCTCAAAATGACATGATGTACAGGAAGAAGATACTTAGGGAATGTAACATTTTCCAAGATCAACTTGCTCATTAGATCACTCACATTCAGTGAAAAGTCAACCATGTGTCTGCTAAAGAATCATCTGTGAAATGATAAATGTAGATACCAAGTAATCACATCCTGATTCAAATCACAGCGATGGGGGGAGGGATCCTTAAGCATCTTTTCCTGGAAAGGAGATGTTTTTGTCTTAATGATTAAGTATAACCTGAAAGCCAAGCCCCTTGTATAAAAGAGAAATAGTGCTTCTTAAATTTTTTTGTATGTATGAGTGTATATTGTCCACATGTGTGTAAGTGCACCCATGTTGAGCAATGCCCACAGAGGTCAGAAGAGGGCATTGGATTCCCCTGGAACTGGAGTTAGAGACAGTTGTTAGCCACCATGTGGGTGCTGGGAGGCTGGAACAGCCAGTGCTCTTAACCCCTGAGCCATCTCTCCAGCCCCCAAGATGCAATACTTTTTAAAAGTCTTTAATGGCACTTTCTCTGTTGCTTAATCCTCACAGTAATAATTAGAGGTAGGCAGAGGAAAGTTGATTACCTTCTTTCCTCACTGCCAGTCCTGTCATGGCTAAGTGGGAGAATTGAGATAGATCCAGATTTGTCTATGTTCTTCATTCCTTTCTGTGCTCCCCAGGCCCTGTATTCCCACCTGTTTCCTTCAAGTGGGAAATACTAGCATAGAGTACATCTAGAAATGTCTATCAGTACTTAGGACTCTATTGTAGTAAAAACTGAGGAAACTTTAAAGAACCTCAAGTGACATAATTAACATTTGTTAAATATTTAGGGCTTAAATTTCTGGTTCAAATTTTTTTTAAGTAGCAACTCCCCCAAATTAAAGTCAAAGTGGGGATGGGGAGATGGTTCAGTTGGTGAAGTACCTGCTACCAAACTGAGAACTTGAGTTCATCTCCCCAGAACCCACATAAAACCAAAGTACTTAGGAGCAGAGAGCAAGGAGCAGAGACAAGCAGAATCCTACAAGGCAATCAAGGAACCAGTTTGCTTCACATTCAGTGAGAAACCCTGTCTCAAAAATAAGGTGCACACTCCTTTAATCCCAGCACTTGGGTGGGAAAGGCAGGTGGGTTGCTGTAAGATCAAGGCCACCTTGGTCTACATAGTGAGTTTCAAGCCAGCTGGAGCTACAGGGAGACACTGTCTCAAATAAATAAGTATATAAATAAATGGTGGAGCACAATATAGAAAGATGCCTAACATCTACACAAAGAACTACATAAAGTCTGGGACTAGAGCGATGGCTCAGCAGTTAAGAGCACTGGCTTCTCTTGCAAAAGACTAAGGTTCAATTCCCAGCACCTATATGGCAGCTAACAACTGTCCATAACTCCAGTTCCAGGGGAATCTAATGTCCTGACCTCTGCAGGCATTGCATGACATGGGTGTACTTACATACGTGCAGACAATATACTCATACACATAAAAATAAAAAAAATTTAAAATATAAATAAAATCTAAGTATATTATTTGGACTAATACAGAAGTACATTTAATTTCAAATAATAACCTCATAAAATGAAAGACAAAACAATACTGTGACTCTATAGATAATAAAATCAGAACACTTAGAACATTCTAAGGATAATGGCCTTGGTTCTATAACTTTGAGTGACAGGTTTCATAATTGCTGTTTCCTCTTGAGATTATTGAGATGCTTTTTACATTAGAAATTTAACTAGATCTGCAATGCCAAGTCTTGGGTAAATCACTTCTTTCCTTGGAGCCTGATTTTTCACATTTGTAAAAATAAAAGTGATGACTAAGTACGAGTGAGGGTTAACTGTGGTTATGTATCTCAAAGCAGTTTGAAAATGTGTGCATTTTCATATGTAAATCATAAATAAGTAAGGCTTTGACACTGGGTGTGGTGGTGCATGCCACCTAGCACCTGGGTTGTGAAGGAAGGAGGATCCAGAGATGCAGGCCAGCCTTGACTACGTAGTAAGATTAAGGCCAACATGGGTTACATGTGTCAAAAAGAAAATAAAAAATCACCTGCCCTTAGGTGTATGTACAGAATGCAGAGGAGGATGAAGGATAGGAATCTTACATTAATATTGATAAGTATAATATCAAATGATAAATGCAGTTTCAAAAGTCCCACATGTGCTTTATTAAGAATTTAAACTATAATGGTAAGGTCATTTAAAAATATATTAGTGATTTTTACAGACTTTTTTTCTTCATGGCTCCTTGGCTATGTATTCATCAAAGAATATAAAATCCTCGGTTATCAAGATTGTTTTAACTTTGGCAGAATTTCTAAAATGTCACAGTCTAGAAAAATGCAGTGAATACTTAGCACATCATCTTAAGGTTCCTTCATACACTTCCCTCAAAGTGACTATAAATTTTAAAGAAGTACCCCAGAAGTGTCTATAAATCTTGTATGGTAATGCCACTACCACAAAAAAATAAAACCCAGGAAGAGCTAGAGCTGAAGAAGTGAACGCATGCCGCATAGTTAGAAATCCGCCCTTCCTTTTTAAGTTAAAGGCGTTTTTCAAGGTGTCTTAGTAGGTATTTTTTTCTGTATTTATTATTGTTTATTTACTTCTGCCTCATTTCCTTACTGAAGGCAGCAGAAATAAAAGCCCCTGTCCCCTTCTGTGCGCTGGGCAGTCCTGATCCCTGGCAGTAACTGTCTAACTCTAATACTGACTGGCTGGAAGATACTAATGTTCTTGGGGTTCACTTGTCTTGTTCTCACCATCGCTTCTCTCTGCTGGGGGACTTTCATTTTTATGTTATCTTCCATCCTGATCCATTTTCTTTAGACGGTTTCCTTTCAAGTCTGGGTAAGAATAACAAACTGGGGAAGGAAAGCACGTAAGAGCCTGGTGCTTGTGTGATCGAAGCCCTTATGAGGTCCTGTATAGTCTTCTACGTGTTCATAAAGAAATGGTGTCAGGGAAACATGATCAGAATCTTAAATTGTCTCTGCATTGGTCAAATACAGGGAACGCCAATCCAGGGAAGCAAGCTTCGACTTCCAGGGTATCTATCAGGGAAGAGCTTCCACTCCGGGGAGGACAGCGGCTTGATAACAACTGCAGCTGCCAGAGTCAGAACACAATTTGCAGGTGAGTGGTGGGGGAGGGGGACATTTCCTTCTTCAGTGATGATCTGGACTTTATAAAGTCCCCTTCCTAACTAGAAAGAAATGTTGAATTGGTAGAGCTATATTGTTTTGGAATAAAACGCTCCAACATACACAGAAGACAAATGAGTCATGGAAACAAGTGACTAAGCAGCCTGTTTGGGATAGTACGTGGCTTTCGGGGCATTGGAAACCTAAGTCAGTGCTGTGCCCTGCAAGCTGGGAGCCCTTTCTGCCAGAGATTGCATGGGGCTGTTTCTAGTAACTAGGAAAACCCAGCCTCACTAGGCCTTCCACCAATGTCTCTTACATTTTTATTAACACCCTAAACACTGCACTCTGAGCTCAGGAGGCGTGAATTTTCTTGCATCCTTTAAGTTGCTCATCCTCAAATAAGACTTAGACCTGAGTCCATACGCGGCATGCATGCTGAGCATCGGACAACATCTTCTCCAATAAGAGGGGTATTCCTTATGTCTACTTGCGGTAAATCAGTTTTAAGTGAGGTAAGCCCAAGCATCTCCTGTATGTCAGTCTAGCTGTTGCCATTTAATGTCTACTCAGAATGAGTCTGCCTACCCTTGAGTAATTGTGGAAGGCCATGAGACCAAAGTATTTGTGGGTGCCTGCTAAGGGCAAGAAAAACATGTTGAGGTACACATAGGTCAGTTTTGCAAAATCATTTGCAGATGAATAAGAGGAGAATCTGTCTCTGCCTTCTCCCTTCAGATTCCAGGAAGACTCCCAGCCGCCCTGGAAGCCGAGCGGGAAGCAAGACAGGCAGCAGGGCCAGCAGCCGCAGAGGCAGTGATGCATCAGACTTTGACATTTCAGAAATCCAGTCTGTGTGCTCAGATGTGGAGACTGTCCCTCAGACACAGAGACCTACACCCCGAGCAGGTTCTCGGCCATCCACAGCCAAGCCTTCTAAAATCCCCACACCCCAGAGGAAATCACCTGCCAGCAAATTAGACAAGTCTTCAAAGAGATAGTGCAACTGGTTCCACCAAGGCCCTTCCTTGAGCATTTATTATTTAAATGAATGATGTAAAATACGATGTAGAAATTATTGTGAAATATTGCAGGAGGTGAGTTTAAAATTCTGCAGATGGCCTTATTTGTGTATTTGTCTTTTTTATTTGATCTGTATCACTTTTTGGTCAGATTTTCTGGGGTTAAAGTCACATCATATGTGATAAGGAAGAGTTTAACATGAACTAGTGTTGCTGCACTGTAACGTGTAGAGCACACACTAAAATCAGTTACTGTGTCTACAGGTAAGTCTGCCTCCTCTCTGACAACCACAGCACTACATGGATAGCTGACACTAAGGGATACCCCATGACAGCTTCTTATTTTTATGGAAATTCTGAACAGCTGACAAACACAACAGGGATATCTTTTTCTGAGATGATTTTATCTGTCAATTAAAAGGTGGAGGGCAAAAAGAAAACACATCTACACATAGTTCGTCAAGCAGTAACCAACAGAGAACTCACAGGAGACTACTTCAAGCAGTTGCGAGTACCATGGTGTACAAGTACTTGCCAGCATCTTTGTGCTGTTCCTTTCAGTACAGCCAGACGCGACCCGGATATTAGACCTAGATACTGTAAGAATAGACTTGCAAAGTGCGTTCATATAAATGTGAGGTTTTCTTTTGCTGGAGTGGACAGTGGCACCTGTATCACTAACTCTTTTTGTATCAAAGCAGTTTCGCTTGCAAAAAGCTATGAAATAAAACATGTCCCTTAATTACATTGCTATGGAATTAATTTTTTTTCCACAGGGAAAACTGGTGTATTTTTTTATGAGCAGTATCAATTTGGAATGACCAAAAGATACTTAAAAATGGGTTTATTTTGATTTCTCACCTGGAATAATCATGTTCTGGTATTATATCTACTTATATTTAATAAATATACATTTTAATTTATTATGTATACTCACATACTACAGAAAGATACTAGTATGCATTTAATAAAACATATTCACCTAAATGTATGGAATACCTGATTATTTAAAGTGAGATTTTCTGTTTGTTCTAAATAAAGAGAATACCAATAGTATGACAGGGAAGATGTGGGAAATGTGAAAAGGGGACTTGTAATAAAATGATGTGACCCCTCTATCCAGTAAGTATTTTAGTAAGTACTAAACATGTGCTCACTTGTTTTAATGACCCTAAGACTGCAGTGTTCCTGCTGTCATGTAATCAAGGGAGAATCCATTATAAGTCACTAGAAAGTGTGAAAAGTAGGGGGGTGTGGCAGGAGAACTGATTTTCTTCTTAATATAGTGATAATCTTCTGGCCTGTGGTCTTGTGTGCGCCTTTAATCCTAGCGCTTGAGAGGCAGAGGTAGGCGGATCTCTGTGAGTTTGAGGCCAGCCTGGTCTACATAGTGAGTTCCAGGACAGCTGGGGCTACAGGGAGACCCTGTCTCAAAAAGACAAAA